CAGACCCAGTCTCACACTCCAGACCCAGTCCCAGACCCCAGACCCAGACCCAGACCTAGAACCAGTCCCAGACCCAGATCCAAGACCCCAGATTCAGGCCCTGTCCCAGACCCAAACCCACACCCAGACCCCAGACCAAAACCCATACCTACATGCAGACCCAGAACCCAGACTCATTCCCAGACCCAGACCCAGACTCAGACCCCAGATCCAGACCCAGTCCCAGTACCCTTCCCAGACCCAGACCCAGACCCAGTCCCAGTCCCAGTCTCAGACCCAGACTCAGGCCCCAGAACCAGACCCAGTTCCAGACTCAGACTTAGTCCCAGACCCCAGACTCCAGACCCCACACCCAGACCCCAGACCGCAGACTGCAGCCTCAGCCCCAGCCCTAGACCTAGAACCAGTCCCAGACTCAGACTCAGCCCAGATCCAGTCCTAGACCAAGAACTAGACCCAGGCTCAGACCCACTCCCAGATTCAGACGCAGCCCCAGACCCCAGACCCAGTCCTACACCCAGACCCAGAGCTAGACCCCAGACCTAGCCCCAGCCCCAGCCCCAGCCCCAGCCCCAGTCCCAGACCAAACCCAGACCCAGACCCAGAGCTAGACCCCAGACCTAGACCCAGTCCCATACCCAGACCCAGTCCCAGACCCAAACCCACACCCAGACCCCAGACCAAAACCCAGACCTACATGCAGACCCAGAACCCAGACTCATTCCCAGACCCAGACCCAGACTCAGACCCCAGACCCAGACCCAGTCCCAGTACCCTTCCCAGACCCAGAGACCCAGTCCCAGTCCCAGTCCCAGACCCAGACTCAGACCCCAGACCCCAGACCCAGTCCCAGACTCAGGCCCCAGACCCCAGACCCAGTCCCAGACTCAGGCCCCAGACCCCAGACCCAGACTCAGGCCCCAGAACCAGACTCCAGTCCCAGACTCAGACTCAGTCCCAGACCCCAGACTCCAGACCCCACACCCAGACCCCAGACCACAGACCGCAGCCCCAGCCCCAGCCCCAGACCTAGAACCAGTCCCAGACTCAGACTCAGCCCAGATCCAGTCCTAGACCAAGAACTAGACCCAGGCTCAGACCCACTCCCATATTCAGATGCAGCCCCAGACCCTAGACCCAGACCCAGACCCAGTCCTACACCCAGACCCCAGACCCCAGACCCCAAACCCAGACCTAGCCCCAGTCCCAGCCCCAGTCCAAGAACCAGACCCAGACCCAGATCCAGTCCTAGACCAAGAACTAGACCCAGTCCCAGACTCAGATGCAGCCCCAGACCCCAGCCCCAGACCCTGTCCCAGACCCAGACCCAGACTCAGTCTCAGACCCAGACAGTATCCCAGACCCATACACTGTCCCAGACCCAGACCCAGTCCTAGACCCAGACCCAGACCTAGACCCAGGCCCAGATCCAGTCCCAGACTCAGACACAGCCCCAGATCCGAGAACCAGACCCAGTCCCAGACCCAAACCCAGACCCAGTCCCAGACCCAGACCCAGACCCAGTCCTAGACCAAGAACTACACCCAGACCCAGACCCATTCCCAGACTCAGACCTAGTCCTCAGACTCAGACCCAGACCCAGATCCCAGACCCCAGATCCAGGCCCAGACCCAGTCCCAGTCCCAGACCCAGATCCCAGATCCGAGAACCAGACCCAGTCCCAGACCCAAACCCAGACCCAGTCCCAGACCCAGACCCAGACCCAGTCCTAGACCAAGAACTACACCCAGACCCAGACCCATTCCCAGACTCAGACCTAGTCCTCAGACTCAGACCCAGACCCAGATCCCAGACCCCAGATCCAGGCCCAGACCCAGTCCCAGTCCCAGACCCAGATCCCAGACCCAGACCCAGACCCATTCCCAGACCCAGTGTCCCAGACCCAGAGCCAGAGCCAGAGACAGACCCAGTCCCAGACCACAACCCAGACCCAGACCTAGACCCAGTTCGAGACTCAGACCCCAGACCCTAGACCCAGACCCAGACCCAGTCTTACACTCCAGACCCTATCCCATACCCCAGACCCAGACCCAGACCTAGAACCAGTCCCAGACCCAGACCCAAGACCTCAGACTCAGACCCAGTCCCAGACCCAGATCCTAGACCCCAGACCTAGACCCAGTCCCAGACCCAGACCCCAGTCCCAGACTCAGACTCAGACCCAGATCCAGTCCTAGACCAAGAACTAGACCCAGGCCCAGACCCAGAGCCAGACCCAGTCCTAGACAAGAACAACACTCAGACCCAGACCCATTCCCAGACTCAGATCTAGTCCTCAGACTCAGACCCAGACCCAGACCCCAGACCCAGACCCAGCCACAGACCCAGTCCCAGAACCAGACCCAGACCCAGTCCTAGACCAGAACTAGACCCAGGCCCAGACCCAGTCCCAGACTTAGACACAGCCCAGACCCCAGACCCAGACCCATTTCCAGACCCAGACCCAGTCCTAGACCCAGACCTAGACCCAGTACTAGACCCCGACCCAGTCTCGACCCCAGACCCCAGACCCAGACCCACACCCACACCCAAGACCCAATCCAGACCCAGATACATTCCTAGACTCAGACCCCAGCCCTCAGCCCCACCCTAGCCCCATTCCAAACCCCAGACCCCAGTCCCAGTCCCAGACCCCAGACCCTAGACCCAGACCCAGACCCAGACCCAGTCCTAGACCAAGAACTACACCCAGATCCAGACCCATTCCCAGACTCAGACCTAGTCCTCAAACCCAGACCCAGACCCCAGACCCCAGACCCCAGATCCAGGCCCAGACCCAGTCCCAGACCCAGACCCAGACCTAGACCCAGTCCCAGACCCAGACAGTGTCCCAGATACTGTTGCAGAGCCACACCCAGACCCAGTCCCAGATCCCAGACCACATCCCAGACCCAGACCTAGACCCAGTCCGAGATTCATACCCCAGACCACATCCCACACTCACACCACGACCCAGACCCACTCTCACACTCCAGACCCACTCTCACACTCCAGACCCAGTCCCAGACCCCAGACCCAGACCTAGAACCAGTCCCAGATCCTAGACCCCAGACCCAGTCCCAGATCCAGTCCCAGACCCAGACCCAAACCTACACCCAGACCCCAGACCAAAACTGTGACCTACATCGAGACCCAGAACCCAGACTCATTCCCAGATCCAGACCCAGACTCAGACCCCAGACCCAGACCCAGTCCTGAACAAGAACTACACCCAGACCCACAACCCAGACTCATTCCCAGACTCAGACCCAGACTCAGACCCCAGACCCCAAACCCCGGGTCCAGACCCAGAGCCCAGACCCCAGTCCCAGACCCAGTCCCAGAACCAGACTCAGACCCCACACTGAGACCCAGACCCAGATCCAGACCCAGTCCCAGACCCCAGACCCTAGACCCAGACCCTAGACCTAGACCCAGGTCCAGACCCAGACCCAGTCCTAGACCCAGACCCAGACCTTGACCCAGTCCTAGACCCAGTACTAGACCCAGATCCAGTTCCAGACCCAGACCCCAGACCCCCGTCCCAGCTCCATTCCCAGACCCCAGACCCCCAGAACCAGACCAGATGCATTCCCAGACCCAGACCCCAGTCATAGATCCAGACCCAGTCCCAGACCCAGAACCAGTCCCAGACTCAGACTCAGACCCACACCCCAAATCCCAGACCCAGACCCCAAACCCAGTCCCAGACCCAGACCCAGTCCTAGACCCAGAACCAGACCCAGACCCAGTCCTAGACCCAGACCCAGACCTTGACCCAGTCCTAAACCCAGAACTAGACCCAGAACTAGACCAAGACAGGCCCAGCCCCAGATCCCAGACCCAGACCACAGACCCAGATCCAGACCCAGAGACAGTCCCAGACTCAGACTCCAGCCCCCAGCCCCAGGCACCAGCCCCAGTCCCAGACCACAGACCCCAGTCCCAGACCTAGACCCATTCCCAGACCCAGATCCAGACCCAGACGCAGTCCCAGACTCAGACCCCAGCCCCCAACTCCAGGCCCTGCCCCATTCCCATACCCCAGACCCCAGTCCCAGACCCAGACCCATTCCCAGACCCAGACCTCAGACCCAGTCCCAGACCCAGACAGTGTCCCAGACCCACACTGTCCCAGACCCAGCCCCAGTCCTAGACCAAGAACTACACCCAGACCCAGACCCATTCCCAGACTCAGACCTAGTCCTCAGACCTAGACCCAGACCCAGTGTCCCAGACCCAGACACTGTCCCTGACCCAGACCCAGACCAGTCCAGACCCCAGACCACAACCCAGACCTATACCTAGATCCAGTCCTAGACCCAGAACTAGACCCAGACCAAGTTCCAGATCCCAGACCCCAGACCCAGACCCAGACCCCAAACTCCAGATCCAGGCCCAGATGCAGTCCCAGATTCAGACCCAAGTTCCCAGCCCCAGCCCCAGCCCCATTCCCAGACCCCAGACTGCAGTCCCAGACCCCAGACACCAGTCCCAGACCCAGACCCCGACCCTTGACCCAGACCCAGACCTAGACCCAGTCCTAGACCAAGAACTACAGACCCCAGGCCCCAGACCCAGACCCCAGACCACATCCCACAGCCACACCACGACCCAGAGCCAGAGCCAGACTCAGACTCAGTCTCACACTCCAGACCCAGTCCCACACTCCAGACCCAGTCCCAGACCCCAGACCCAGACCTAGAACCAGTCCCAGACCCAGACCCAAGACCCCAGACTCAGACCCAGTCCCAGACCCAGAGCCTAGACCCCAGACCTAGACTCAGTCTTAGACCCAGACCCTGTCCCAGACCCAAACCCACACCCAGACCCCAGACCAAAACCCAGACCTACATGCAGACCCAGAACTCAGACTCATTCCCAGACCCAGGTCCAGACTCCAGACCCAGACCCAGACCCAATCCCAGTATCAATCCCAGACTCAGACCCCAGTCTCAGACCCAGACCCAATCCTAGACCCAGACCCAGA